AATTGGGGGTTGAAAGGTGATTTATTTATATATTTTTAAAGACAATTTTGTAATAACACTCTATTCTATGTCAGAACACAACAACCATTAACGATGTTAATTTAAGAGTAAGAATCTAGAATAAATGAAACAAACGATGAAAACTCGGCTGTATAAACTCATAATGGTTAGCTTATAAAGCTCTTTAAAATCTGTATGAACTCCAAATGGCTAGAACATGTACCAATCTTTGTTAAACATAAGGTCATTGACTAAAACATCCCCCTATTTAGTTTAGTATATATACATTGATTAAATTCAGCCTTGGGACTAGGAGGCCATGTGCTAGAAAACTATGTTTCTTTCAAAATTTAACAACAAAATCATTATATATTACAGTGATATGGACACATTCTTCGCCTTTATTTACCGATTTTTCTTGTTTTTGGAAGTTTTTTTTTTTTTTTTCTCTGGCTTCCAGTTTTGTTTTGTACTTTAGTTTGATGACAATAAACTTTCTCTAGATTGTCAGAGTTTGAAAGTGAAGGCAAGAGAAGCAGGACTATGCTGTCAGAGCATGCCTGAGAAGAGAAAAGAGAAAAAAAATGTAGAGAACTTTTGTGTATATTGTATTTTGTAAGTCTGTACAATAGACAATTTATACAATTGTGTAGATGTAAAAAAGGAAAACAATAAATACAAAATTCCTTTAATTTTTCCATCAATCACATGATTTAAGGTGATTGATTGAACCTCAATTTACTTCATAATCTCAGCCAGCAAAGATCAAGGGAATAATCATTCTATATTTCATCACTCCCCCTCAAACTTGTGGTTTGAAGATGTCAAAAACTCCAAGCTTTCTAAGTAGATGTGAATGTTGTCTGCTACATAATGGCTTTGTGAAGATGGCTGCTGGTTGTAAAGAAGTACGGATGTGTAGAGTCTTAATTACCCTTTCTTGTATTTTGCTCCTAACAAAGTGGCAATTAATTTCTATATGTTTCGTTCTTTCATGAAATACTAGATTTTCTTCTATGTCGTTTGCAGCTTTGTTGTCACAGTATAAAAGAACCGGTTTATTTTCTTGCACTTCTAGATCTCTCAGTGCCCCAGAATCCAGATGATCTCAGATGTCATCTTTGCCATGGCTCTGTATTCGGGAAGAGAGGGATACGGTAGTTTGTTTCATAGTTTTCCAAGAAATAAGCGCTCCCCCTAACTTTATACAGAACCCAAATAAGTGATTTTCTTGTCATCGGACATGTAGCCAAGTCTGAATCACAATATGCTGTGATATCTAAGCCTCTATTACGAAGAATGAGGAGCCCCAGACCAGGACACCCTTTTAAGTATTTCAATACCTTTATTGCTTCATCCATGTGAGATTACTTAGGTCCGTACATGAATTGACTAAGAATGTGAATCACATAGCTGATGTTTGGTTGAGTCATTGTGAGGTAAATTAGTCGACCAACAAGTCTTTGGTAGTTTGTAGGATCTTCTAAAGGTAGATCATTTTTCTAAGGATGATGTCCCATTGTCATATTCTTGACTGGTTAACTTGGTGTTCTGTTCTACTGGAATAACACTTGGCTTGTATCCTAATAGCCCAGAATCAGAAATGATTTATAAGACATATTTCTGTTGACTGAGAGATATCCCTACTGGAGATCTTGCAATTTCGATTTCGAGAAAATATTTTGGCTCTCCTAGATCCTTTATTTGAAATTGTCTTTTGAGATGTTCTTTAAGGATTTGATGCCTACTGCATCATTTCCTATAATGAGAATGTCATCGACATAGATAATTAGAGTAATAAATGTTTTACCTCTATGCCAAGTAAAAAATGCATAGTCATGTTTGAACCGAAGAAATCCTATGTTAGTGAGAGCTGCTGTGAATTTCTCATTCCATTGACATGATGCTTGTTTTAAACCATAAAGGGATTTTCGCAGATGATGTACTTTCTACTCCCACTATCTGTTAATTCCTGAAGGAAGATTGACACTAAAACATCCCCGTATTTAGTTTAGTATATATACATGGCCGAACGACTTGCACATACCCAAGATTTGCCGTAACGACAAATTGGTATCCAAAAGGTTTGGAAATGACAAACATGTACGTTCCGTCATGTGCTGTTAGTGATTTTTGTTTTCTAATAGTGAAAAGACTAGAATGCCCTTGACAGTTTGATATTTTAGTTTTTTATAAATTTAAAAATTTCTAAAAAACCCCATAGGTTTGCTAATTTAACTAAACACCCTAATATATAAAATTTTTGTAAAATGACAAAAACACCCCCACCACCCGTAATGCCAAATTCCGGCCACCACCACTGGAATTTGGCCAGAAAATTGCGTTTCTAGATTTGGCCGACGAGGCCACAAAACTCCATCTTTGGCCGTCGTTGACAGACAACGACAACCATTTCTTGCCTTCCATGCACCGTTAGATTGTCGATTATCGTATGCTCCACTGCATAAACCAACATCCCGCTCAAGCCAGCCTTGTTAACTTTCTCGACGCAGCATTTGGCCTTTGCAACGGATTCGCCAATGCAGAAGTGTTCGTAAAACGTGTGTCTAACCAAGCCAGTGACCATTTCACGAGTGATATTGATGTTCATTAGCTTGGAATTCATAACCCACATGTCGAGATCATAAAAAATCTGGTCGAAAATAGCCAGATCGTGCCAAAGATATGGTCAGAAAAGACAATAACAACGCAAGCCTGCCCAGATCCGATTGGCCTTGCATCGTTACGGCGCTGATGGCCGACGATGGGTGGGTGATGTGATGGTATTGGGTGGGTTGTAATTTATTAAATGTCCAAAAACTTAATTAATCAAAGGTAAAATTATAATGATAGGTTTATGCAAATTAAATGTGTTATAAGGATATTATTGTCTTAAAATTTTATTAAAAATAAGATTACTTGTAAACTTAAATACGCTACTTTAAGTATTACAACAGATGACAATCAAACGTAGTTAGCTAATATAAGATGACTTACCCCAACCAAACGCAACCTTAAATTTATTCGTAAACTCATTTCTTCTTTCTTCTTTCTTCCACTTCTCTGTTTCAAATCCGTTCTCTTCCTCCTCACTCTCTTTCTCCTCTTTCCTTCATCTCTTTCTCTTTCATTATTTTCTTTCCTCCTCCCCAATCACACCCTCTAGTTGCCGCTGTTTGGCAACCAGATCTTGCCAGCCAGCCAGATCGCCAGGGTTCCGACTGAAGACTGAAGCTACTGAAGTTGTGAAGCCGTGAAGAGTGATGTTACGGGTGGAATTGATGATTAAAATGGCCTCAACAACCCTTCCAATGGATTGATTTGTGATGTTTTAAGGAATTTTCAATTGTGTTAGGGTTTGATTTGTGAGTTTCTAGTTTGATTTTGTTGAAGTCAAGGGTGAAATTGATGATTGAAAATGGTTGACCAATTTTTCTTGAAGTTGGATTAGTGGTGGATTGATTTAGTTGTGAAGAAGATTGCCGATTTTGTGGAGGATTTGTTGGAGTAGGATCTGATTTTGTGGAGGTTTACAGATGGCCTTTTCTGTATCACGGTCTACTACCTTGTCAGAAAAAGATACGAGTAAGTAGTAGAAAATCAAATTAAATTTTCATAAGTAAATAAATAACAATAAAAAGTTTTCGGTATGTTTTTATTGCAGATGATTTCACGGATTACCAGCCACTGTATGAAGCTATACTCCAGGGGAACCTGGAACATGTAAAAAAAATCTGTGAAGACCCAAAAAAACATGCGTTAGAAGCCAGGATCTCGATACGCTTGGACACAGCTCTTCATGTGGCTGTTGGTACAGGCAAGGCTCATGATATTGTGGAGTATCTATTGATTAAAATGTCAACGGATCAACTGGCAGTGCAAAACAAGGAGGGCAACACAGTCCTCTCCGTAGCTGCAATCGTTGGCAATGTCCAAGCAGCCAACATGATACTGAAGAAAGAAGAACTTCTACACTTAATTGAAGTTAGAAACGAATCTGGCTGGATACCTTTGATTGAGGCTGCTCAGCATGGCCAAAAGAAGATGATTAAATATTTATTGCCATTTAGCAGAAGCTACTTGAAGCGTGTTTCTGTAACACATTTTGAAGCAGAAAAGTCTGGTGTTTTTTTCGTAAATCTGCTTATAACTGCTGGATTTTATGGTGAGTTAATTTTTTCTTTTGCTATTATTACTACTGCTTAATGAATACACTTTAATGAGATAGCTGATACTTCTAAACAGATTTCAAATCCATGGCCAGTAAAATTCTCTGCTAGTAGTGCAAATTTCATTTTACTTTATTGATGCATATTTTTAGCCATTTCGTTGACGTATAAATTTGAAATTAATAATCCTAAATTCCTGTCCATCATAATTATGTCTCAGACTTGGCACTAGACGTGCTCGAAAAATATAAAAGTTTTGCTACAATGGAGTTATATGGTGGCGACTCCCCTCTGAGTAGAATAGCAGCAAAGCCATCGGCATTTTCAAGTGGCAGGCGACAAGAGCTAGAGGTTTGGCACCCCTTGTACTTCTCTAAAGGTGAGCATATATTTCTTACACACTAATAAATCTTCTATTGCGTCCATCATCTCACATATATCCCTATTACTTTTTTTTTTATCCCTATTTTCTGGGTTCTAAGTTTCTCTTACCTTTTCATGCATTAGTAAAAGTTATTTTTATTCTTCCAGTATTATTCCTACTCTGGAGATGAAGATATTTAATAGAGAGATAATTAATTATGAAATGATAACACGTTGAAATTAAAGAAAATTAAAAACCATCAATCTTTTATAAAAAATTAAGAGCGAAGAAAATTTCAAAATTTTTGTTAAAACAATCCAGCTCTCGAGGGGCTGCTCTCTTTCTCTCCTTTTTATGCATGCCACTGAAAGGAATCTGAACTTTTACGTATGAAACTCTAGCATGTTTTCTTCTTCTGATTTACAATATATTTCTCGCTAGCTATATATATATATTAATGTGTGTTTAAGTTGCAGTTCCAAGTTATAGGAAGGAAATACGAGAGACACGATTGATGCATCACAAAGCACTTCAACTTGTCAAATACTTGTGTGGGGAAATTAAAAGTAGTAAGCCAGACTATAAAAGAGCTATCCGGTTACTAAAACCACCGCTCCTTTTAGCTGCAGAATTGGGGCGTTGCGAAGTGGTGGAAGAGATTATAAAAACATTTCCAGATGCAATCTGGTTTACAAATGAAAAGAATCATAGTGTATTCCACTTGGCAGTCTTGAAGCGTCAAGAGAAGGTATTCAATCTCATATTTCAGATAAGCGGTCACAAACATTTGTTGTTGATGTCCCAAGATGTTGACGGAAATAATATCTTGCACTTAGCTGGAAAATTGGCTCCCGAATATCAGCTCCATCGCATCCCTGGTGCAGCATTACAGATGCAGCGTGAGTTACAGTGGTTTGAGGTACTATGACTTTGTTATAAACATTATATATGCATGTTCATTTACTTCAGTCTCTCCCCCAAGCCAAATGCATCCCATATCCATATGTATGCTAAAACTTCTTAACCTATAGCAATTAGTCTAAAAAGGAAACTGTTATTAGAAGTTCAATGTCTCATTTTTTTAGTTATTTTATTATTAATATTTTTTCTACAGGAAGTAGAGAAAATTGTGAAGCCTAATTACAGAGAGGATAAAAATTCTAAAGAAGAAACTCCAGCAATGATATTTACTGAACAACACAAGAAACTTGTTGAAGACGGTGAGAAATGGATGAAAGTTACAGCAAACTCATGCTCAATAGCTGCGGCACTGATTGCCACTATAGTATTTGCAGCAGCAATCACTGTACCTGGTGATTACGCGGATAACGGCGTACCAAAATTTTACAGAGAGGCAGCCTTCAAGATCTTTAGCATTTCAGATGCACTCTCTTTATCCTCATCAATTGCTGCCATCATAATGTTTTTGTCCATCCTTATGGCACGGTATGCAGAATATGATTTTCGTTATTCCCTACCCACAAGGTTATTACAGGGTCTTTTAATGTTGTACGTCTCTCTAATTACCCTGATGGTAGCGTTTTGTGCCATTGTTTTTCTGGTGTTTTGTGACCAAAAGGCAAATTGGTTATTTGGTTTAGTGGTGGGCTCAGCCTTAGTGCCTGTGTTCATGTACGCTGCTTCGCAGTTTCCCCTCTTACGGGAACTGTTGATTTCCACATATGGCCCTGGCAGTTTCCGCAAGCAAGGCACACGAGTCCTCTACTAAGTGATGATAAGTTATAAAACATATTGAAATTAGTCTTTTAAGAGAGTGTGATTAGATAAGAAAAGATTTGCTCTATTATTTTGAATTCTACTGACATTGCTGTATTGCTATCTTCATATGGGCTGAAATACATGAAACTGTTATTATCACGATCTAGTTCCGATTCTGAATTATCTTAATATGAGAGCAAATCAACAGAGAGAATGTTGAATCTGACAGCAAATGCATTCTATGTATCTACCACATGGATTGACAGATATCAAAAATAGAACCACATGGAAATAAAGATGGTTTAAAAACCAATATTGTACAAGCTAAGTATGAACAAGACTATTACTCCGGAGGGTTTTTGGCCGTTGATATAGTTTCGAATTATTTATAAGCATGAAATCTTTTAAAATTTCCACAAATGATCAATTACAGGCTTTTAAGAGAAAGTCACTTTGTCATATGGACCTCTATTGTAGTCTTGAGAAGCTTTCTTTATGGGCCTGATAAATTGATCTTCGTGGGCTAAAGGGAGATTGAACTCACTTGAGTGAACCTCACATTTTCATAAGGATTCAGTTAGAATAATTCTAAATGTATAAATTTTTATATACAAATTGATGTGGAGACGAGCACATGTAAAAAAGCAATTAAATTAATGAAGATAAATGATATTTCAAGAATAGAGTTCTGTTACACTATTTTGTGGACAAGAATTTATATGTTCAATTTGTACATATATAGACATGCTATAAATGTAATGTGCATAAGTCTTTCTTTAAAAATGAAATTGATATCTTTTTATAAAGAAAACATATATATTAATAGAAACTTAAATTTCATCTATAAGAGGTTAGTTGAACAGTCATAATTACGGTTTGCTTTCACAAAGTTTAGGGTTTGAATCCTAGCATGGATATCTATATAATTAAAGCTCATTATTTTCTACTTCTCAAAGATAATAAGGTTCTATATACTGCAGTTGAATTTATGGATTATTAAAAGAGAAAGAAAAAAAATTTGATGTAAAAAAATACTTTTAATTATAATTGGCTAATCATGTGTTTAGTTAAACGAAAACTTGCTCTTCACTTACCAATATTTATTAGCAATGATTAGTCTTTCCTTGGATTAATATAGTGTTAATAATAAGGTAATTGTATTACTCATCCCTTCTATTTAATTTTACTTTATTCTTATATTTACTTGTATATAACTATTGTAACACAAAAAAAAAAATTTCTAATTTCAGAAGTTGCCAAAATATTGTTATGTAATTATATTAATTTCATTTATGGGAAAACTTTTTAATTATGTATTATATATAAATTACTTATGCATAATGTAGTAAAATTGGATATTTTATGAAAACCACCGTAAACCACCGATAATCACCCTAAATCACCACAAAATCCCTGCCCATCCACTGCAAAAACCACCTTCAAACCAACCTTAAACCATCACAAAAATCATCTTACCATGGATACTCACAAAACCTCCGTCAAACACAGATAACAAAATTAAGAAGAAAACTCGCTATCAAACTCCCGAAGACTAACGAAATGACCAAGCAAATTTCTTGTGGCAGCCATAGGAGCCGGGAGCTGCTCTTAGTAGTGCCGCCACGCAGGTCACGGCCTCCAGGTAAGCTCTTCGCTTCAGCACGCGAGCTGTTGAAATTTCATTCTAATTAGCTGAAACTGAAGATTGGTTGGGTTTCTTGGTTTAGATTACAACTTGAGTGTTCAGTATTTAAGCATGAAATGCACCTCCGGCTCTATGATGGATAATAAGTTTTCTTGTATTTTTTTTGCATGGATCAATTATGGGCAGATGTTGAAATATGGGGTTGTTCGAATGCATGATTTTTCCTTTTTTTTTTCCTCCTATGTTTCTTCTTTTAACTGTATTATGCAGTCGACATTTCTTCCAAGCTGGCTGAAGATCTTGTCTATTTTATTGGTTTTCGAATTGAGAGCTTTAAAAGGTTTTAGACATAAGTAAATGTGTTAAACCCGAAGTGAAAATTGCTGTGCCACAGTAATCCTGTCTTTCCTCAGTTATTTAGTGCTCAGTACCTAACAGATTCAACCCTGGATTAACAATTTTTTTTTTCTTTTAATAATCTGCTTGTTTTATCTTTATCTGATTATGTAGGAACAGGACTACAATAACATCTACATGGATAAATTGCTAGACGTCATGCCAACTAGTCATTATAAACCACCAATCATTGTTAGTAGCTTAGATATTGTAGGCTGCCTAGCTGCCAAGTGTAATGTTACAAAAATGTACAGATTGACAAACAAGTGTGGTTCATAGGTTGCTTAGATTTCATTTGATGTGTGATCACATCAATGGCAGGAGAAGATTTTATTTTGTAACCGATTATCCTTAATTCCTCTTCTCCTGAGCGGTGTTTTTCATAGTTGTCTTCTACTTTCTTTGCTCTGCTTTTACTGCTTAATTATGACCTGAGATGGAAAAATTGAGGTTGTCATCTCATATATAATATGTTACTCATATACCAATCTCAGGGAGTTCAAATGTTGCTCTTGCAGGTACACATACTTTGTAGATAATCTGGATACTGCAAATACAAACTCTGTTAATTTGAGGGCTGCATTGTCTGCTGCCCCCCTCTTCCATGTCACTTTTCATTCATTTTATAGTTGCTGGAGTTTTGATTAGGTCTTTGATTGTGCAGGAAGATCTCTTTGCAAAATATGGGAGACTTGCGTGTGCTTGTTGCAGAGAATAAAAACAAGGTAAAGCTTGATCACACCTAAATAAAAATATTGAGAAAATTGATTTGGGGCTTTCAAATGTGCATAGTTCATGGTTGACATTTTCATGTTGTGAATTTTTCTGGAGTGGTGGTTAAAACTGTAGTTTTATTAAACCACCAAAAAAATAAAAAAATTGTTTGTCTTTATGGAGATGGTCGTATCCGATGAGTGAGAAATTTGCCGTTCATTGGAGGTATGCAATAATAAATGGTGATCATTAAAAGTCATACAAATAATTCGTTGATGGGTGTAAGAAAACCAACTTTTGCTACAGAGTCCCTCTCTTCCTCCCTCTGTTTTGCTCCATATATATATTAAATTTACGTTAATAATGAGAGCTATACAGAAAAGAACAAGCATTTTTTTTTTATTTGTTCTAAGAAAGATTCTGGTTTTCATGTATAAAATTTACCTAAGGTAAAGAAGATTGTGCAAGGGCAGTTTGATTTACTCCGCTCAATTTGTAAGCCATTTCTTCAAGAATATTTGGCCAAAGACTTCTTGAGAGTCACATCATCTGGAAGTCACCAAGCAAATATATCACAGGTTTGTAAAATTCGACCTTTATTAGTACCCAAATACTTGATTATGTATTGGCCTCATACCAAATATGACATATATATGTAAAATTTAGGTTAACCTCTATTTACTTATGTTACTTATAATCAATTCTTGAGAAGGGTTCTGTTATGGATCTAACTCGGTTTTTAATTTTTGGAATTTATGATTTCTCCATTGTTGGTTCAATGGTCCACTGTTTATACACAATATAATTGTTCTGGTGTAAGTAAATTCTTTTTCATGAAAAAGTTATAAGAATTTGTTTTATTAAGGAAACTGTTGTTTGAACAGCTTTGTTCTTGTCATCTTATGCTTTGAAGCGCCGAGTTCTTACATGTTTCTGTCGTTTGAATCAGGCTTGTGGCTTGCTAGTCACTTGTCCACCAGAAATTAGAAGTCAAATGGGCATGAAGCTTGGAGAGAAGAAGATAATAAATGAATATGGTATTAGGGGTGTAAACGAGCCGAGTCGAGCCAAATATCACCCTAAACGAGCCTGACTCGGTTAAGCATTAGACGAGTTCGAAACGAGTCACGAGTTGACCGAGTCAGGAAAATTCGGCTCGTGACTCGGCTCGTTTATAAACGAGCCGGTAGTTGGCTGGTGACTAGACTCGTTTAACGCGAGCTCGAATTGGCTCAATTACGGCTCGTTTGGCCCTTTTTTAATATAACCTACAAATCTTGTTTTACACAAATCAGATCCAATTTTTGATAAATTTGCATCTAAATCAACATAAATCACATCCAAATCAACATACACAACGTATTACACAACAAAATATACAATCCAAGACAGACAGACAAACAAACAAACAAACAAAAAAAAAAAAAAAAAAAAAACACAAATGTCCATCAAAATTATCATCAAAACGGCATAGAACTCAAACTTTCGGAAGTTGAATCTCCAATGGTTCCTGTGTTTGTGGGTGGCTTGGTGTGATAATCGAGAAATTGTTTTTGGGGTTTCTTGTTTTAGGGTTCTTGATTTGGGGGGGAATCAATTTATGCGATTTGATTTTGGGTTAATTGGGGTTATTTGGTTAAGGGTTAATTTATGATTTTTTAAACCTTTTAGTCTTTTACGTATCAAATTACAAAAAAAACCCAAAAACTTTTATTATACGCAAAAAACCCTAAACGAGCCACTATTGGCTCGCGAGCCGAATCGAGCCGAGTCGGGGTAGACTCGAACTCGGTTCGGTAATTTATTCGAGTCGAATTCAAGCCCAGTTCGAATATTTAACGAGCCGAGCCGAGCCGACTCGTGCGAGTCGGCTCGATTGACAGCCCTATATGGTATGAACTTTAGCTGGTATGCACAGAATAAAAGGAAATATTATTTTCTGAGGCAGTGTACAAACTAAAACTTATGGTGCATCAAATATTCTTCAATAGAGCATGTGATCGAAATTTTTTCATCAGACCTTATATACTTGATAATAACTACTTGAATGATTACGTACTATACCTTTTGCTGGTCGAGCTATAAATGAAGTTATAATTGGTTCAAGAGAAGAGGCAGCTAAATGCATGCAGACTGTTCTGCGGCGAACTATAATGATTTCAAGTGCAAGGCAAGCAGTCTCTGGTTTACTTGCTGTAGGTTGTATCAATGCTACTAGATATCTTGCTAACAAAATGTAGAAAGTTCGAAGATCTTGGACATAATTTTTCCCATTTTTCTTCCTCAAAATTCCAATATGAGATTTGATAAACGAGGAAGTGAGCTGATGATTTTGTCTCTTGATTATCTTTACTACAAGCTGTTATAACTATAAATCATAAATTTTGCAGATTAAGTAGTCTTA